GTGTATTGCACTATCTGTGTGTTTTGAACTCTCTGTGTATTGCACTCTCTCTGTGTATTGCACTCTCTGTGTGTTTTAAACTCTCTGTGTATTGCACTCTCTGTGTGTATTGCACTCTGTGTCTTGCACTCTCTATGTGTATTGCACTCTCTGTGTGTATATTGCACTCTGTGTATTGCACTCTCTGTGTGTATTGACCTCTTTGTGTATATTGCACTCTCTGTGTATTGCACTCTCTGTGTGTAAATTGCACTCTCTGTGTATTACACTCTCTGTGTGTATTGACCTCTCTGTGTATATTGCACTCTCTGTGTAGTGCACTCTGTTTATTGTACTCTCTATGTGTATTGCACTCTCTGTGTGTATATCGCACTCTCTGTGTGTATTGACCTCTCTGTGTATATTGCACTCTCTGTGTATTGCACTCTGTTTATTGTACTCTCTATGTGTATTGCACTCTCTCTCTCTGTGTATATCGCACTCTCTGTGTATTGCACTCTCTGTGTATTGCACTCTCTGTGTGTATTGACCTCTCTGTGTATATTGCACTCTCTGTGTATTGCACTCTGTTTATTGCACTCTCTGTGTGTATTGAACTATCTGTGTATTGCACTCTATGTGTATTGCACTCTGTGTATTGCATTCTCTATGTGTATTGCACTCTCTGTGTATTGCACTCTGTTTATTGCACTCTCTATGTGTATTGCACTCTCTGTGTGTATTGCACTCTGTTTATTGCACTCTCTGTGTGTATTGACCTCTCTGTGTATTGCACTATCTGTGTATTGCACTCTTTGTGTATTGCACTCTCTGTTTATTGCACTCTCTGTGTGTATTGAACTATCTGTGTATTGCACTCTCTGTGTGTATTGAACTATCTGTGTATTGGACTCTCTGTGTATTGCACTCTGTGTATTGCATTCTCTGTGTATTGTACACTCTGTGTATATTGTTATCTATGTGTATTGTTCTCTCTCTCTGTGTATTGCAATATCTGTGTGTGTATTGCTCTCTCTCTCTCTCTGTATAGCACTATATGTGGGTTGCACTCTCAATGTATTGCACTCTGTGTGTATTGCACTCTTTGCATTGCACACTGTGTATTGCACTCTGTGTGTATTGCACTCTCTGTGTATAATGTTATCTGTGTGTATTGCACTCTCTGTGTGTATTGTACTCTCTGTATAATGTTATCTGTGTGTATTGCACTCTCTGTGTGTATTGTACTCTCTGTGTATTATGCTCTCTCTCTCTGTGTATAGCACTCTTTGCATTGCACACTGTGTATTGCACACTCTGTGTGTATTGTACTCTCTGTGTATTGCACTCTCTGTGTATGTTATCTATGTGTATTACTCTATCTCTCTGTGTGTGTGTGTGTGTGTGTACTGCACTATCTGTGTATTGCACACTCAATGTATTGCACTCTGTGTATTGCACCCTATCTGTATATAGTTATCTATGTGTATTGCTGACCAATACAGACAGAGTCAAGTAATAAGTCGCTCACATACATTGCACACAATCAACTCAATTATCTCCAAACAGAAAAATCAAAATTTTCACACATTTTTAGAAATACCCCAAAAACATGTCATACACTCATAATTCCCCTGATAGCCCCGATCTGGGGGAGCAACATACTGAAAAATCACCCAGATCAGTTCAGGGGTTTGACAGTTTTATGGAGGTCTTAGTTTTACCGACTGCTCACGAGGTGTAAGCCGTAAACAGTTCCATGTGTTTGGGCTGTGCGGTCAGTCTCTGTTCAGGATTCTGAAAAGCATGAAAGTACGTAAAAACATGGTTTGTGCCTAAGTTCGTTCAGTTCCTCTCGTTCGTGTGATTCCTTTCACCGAATGCTGCTCTGTTCTCCTGAGTTTTCACAAACTTAAACGAAGATGGAAGTCTCTGCAGTGTTCGTGCTGTTGAATGTCCGATTTGGGTTCCAGACACTCGACGACCAAACACCGCTGGTGTAATTCGTATTCAAAGATGGCCGCCGCCACGTGTTCGTATGACACCGTGGGATCACCTAGCCCGTTCGTGTGTCGGCAATTGAGAGAGTGTGAACCAGGTTAGGGAGGTCAATTGGCGCCACACTCCTCTTCTGGGTGCCCTGGTTGTTCGGTAGTTAGTTCATTTGTCGAACTCTATGGTGGAAATTAGCTGGACATGGGGGTTCTTACCAAACAACCAGACGAACGTTACCAGGTTCTAGTTTGTTACTTGTTTCTACACGTAACAAACGTACAATATTAGGAAATAAAGCAACAAAAAGGGGCGTTGGACAGCCCTTAGAAAAAAACAGATACTGAGGCGAAGCCCATTCCGCTACACTATGTGTATTGCTCTCTCTCTCTCTCTGTATTGCACTCTCTCTGTAATGCACCCTCTGTATGTATTTCACTCTCTGTGTATATTGTTAGCTATGTGTATTGCTCTCTCTCCCTCTTTGTATTGTACTCGCTGTGTGTATTGCTCTTTCTTGTGTATTGCTCTCTCTGTGTATGGCACTCTCTCTCTCTGTATCGCTCTATGTATTGACCTCTCTCTGTGTATTGCACTCCTTATGTGTGTCTCTTTGTGTATTGCCCTCTCTCTCTCTGCATTGCACTATGTGTGTGTGTGTGTATTGCACTCTCTCTGTGTGTCTCTCTGTATATTGCACTCTCTCTATGTGTGTATTAACCCTGTAGCGGAGCTCCCAGTATCCCGTCTGGGTACCTTTGCCAAGGATTGCTTCCTAGCTGGAACTGGGGAAAACCTCAGCGCTTCTGACCACAGTCGCCGTGGCTTGACTGGGGTCATCTTGGAACCTCTCCGTCCTGGAACAGGATAGGGACCAAGCTCTATTCTCTCCCAGGGACTGGACAACACACAGTCCTGGGAGCTATAGTCCTTACAAGGACTTACCCGCTGGAACAACGCGCTGGAACAACGCGCTGATTAGCCCTTACCCTTCCAGTAACTAGAAGACACTCTGGGAGTACAACTAATTTTAATGAGCCAAACCCAGCCTTTTATGCACAGACCCGCAGGAGGTTTTCAAACAATACAATGCAAGCCCCTCCCAGGAATCTCTGGGCCTGGGAGATAATTGAGATAAAGATCAGTAAGCTAATTATCTCCGAGAGGCAACAGAAAACATAAAAGTACCCCAAAACATCATAAAAACAAATAACAAGAGCCCTGATCTGAGCACCCAAGTTGTCCAAATAGTGCACATATCCATGCAGTGTACGGGAACTGCCACCGTGTCAAAGTTCTGACCGGCTGGACACGTGATTCTATGCCCAAAATTGTTCCAGAGTGTTTTTTGCTTTTGCCATTCGACTTTCCTCTCCTGTGCCTAGCTCTCAAGTAGCATTCATTCTCCTTAGTCTCAGGCACCTTCCCTCCAAGTAGTTCAAAACCTCGGACCAAGTTGTCCAGGAACCGCATGGTCACTTCATGCCAAAAACTGTTTCATAACATTCGCAGAGCGAAAGAATTTACCTTGATTTCAAGGTCCAAGCTTATAAGTGTCATATTAGATAGCCTATATTAAAATTGGCTAACCACGGTTCCCTTGGACTGAGAGACCACCAGCATCAGCTGAGGATAGTTTCTTCATGAGGTAACATCGTAAAAACCTTCCGAAGTCGGAGCTGGAAGGTAAGTTAGAGTACGAAGAAAAGTAGATTTGTTTTTACATGAAAAGAGAAGAACTGGTTAGAAAACCTTAAAGGACCACTATAGGCACCCACACCACTTCAGCTTAATGAAGTGGTCAGGGTGCCATGTCCAGCTAGGGTTAACCCTTTTTTCTATAAACATAGCAGTTTCAGAGAAACTGAGAAACTGTTTCAGAGAAAATGTTTATAATAGAGTTAATCCAGCCTCTAGTGGCTGTCTCATTGACAGCCACTAGAGGCGCTTCCGCGCTTCTCACTGTGATTTTCACAGTGAGAAGATGCCAGCGTCCATAGGAAAGCATTGTGAATGCCCGGCGCTGGAGAAAGAGGTAAGTTTAACCCCTTCCACCCCCTAGAGCACGGCGGGAGTGGGACCCTGAAATCAGGGCACCCTCAGGGCACTATAGTGCCAGGAAAACGAGTGTTTTTCTGGCACTATAGTGGTCCTTTAATTAGCAAAGTCAACCATGTTCCTAGCCCAATTGTCCAATCCCAATCCCCAAAGAATCCAGTATCCTTTTGGTATCCTGTACTAAGTCATGTAAGTCTTGTAGATGTTTATGGATCATAGTGCCATGGTCAGATAGGTTAAAACAACACATACCTTCAATAGCTTCACAGCCTAAGTCATGTTTCAATAGTAAGTAGTCAATTGCTGCTCTATTCTCAAGGATTGCCTTCTTATTTGCATGAGTGTCCATAAGTAGCTCTTCTAGGGCCTGGGAAGTAGCATTTAAACCCTTTGCAAGGGAACAGGCTACAGCATTAATTGATCTCGCATTAGAGGTTGCTAGGTCTGGAACCCCCACTAAAGATACGGCCAGGAATATATATTCAGCTTGGGACAGTAATCTCTGTCTCTGTATCTCTGTGTATTGCACACTAGCTGTGTATTGCACTCTTTCTGTGTATTGTTGCACTCTCTCTGTGTCTCTCTTTGTATTGTCCTCTATCTCTGTGTATTGCACTCTCTATATTGCTCTGTGTATTGCACTCTCTCTGTGTATCTCACTCTCTATGTATCTCTGTGCATTGCACTCTATCTGTGTATTGCACTCTCTCTGTGTATCGCACTCTCTATGTATCTCTGTGCATTGCACTCTATCTGTGTATTGCACTCTCTCTGTGTATCGCACTCTCTATGTATCTCTGTGCATTGCACTCTATCTGTGTATTGCACTCTCTCTGTGTATCGCACTCTCTATGTATCTCTGTGCATTGCACTCTATCTGTGTATTGCACTCTCTCTGTGTCTCTATGTCTATTGCACTCTCTCTGTATCTCTGTGTATTGCACTCTTGCTGTGTATTGCACTCTCTCAATGTGTATTGCACTCTCTCAATATTTATTTACCGTTCTCTCTCTCTCTCCATCTGTGTATTGCACTCTCTCTTGGTGTATTGCTAAAGTCCTTCTCTTTCCTATCTCTCACTCATTCCTGTTTCTTGCTCTAATTTACTCTCTCTGATCTTTCGTTTCTTGTCTGCTCTTCTCTAAGTGGATTCCAGGTCTCTTTCTTTATCCCTCAGTCTCTTTCTCCTTGATCCCTCTTCCCAGTCTGTCTCACTCTCTCTCTGTAATACTCTCTCGTGTTTCTCCCTCTCTTTCACGGGATCTCCAGCTACTCTCTCCCTAAATCTCTGTGTATTTTGTCTACGTCATTATAAGTTAATTTTCTATATTTCATTCACTTTTGTCATTCTTTATTGTAATTCATTGTGTCTGTGTGTGTTCTAGGGATGATCAGACGCCGCCGTAGCTCCATCGTTATCCTTTCAATCCTACTTACCTTTACCCTGTCTCTCCTTACTTGGATTGAGTGGGAAGAGGAGCCTCTGTATGAACTCCCAGACTTCCTTCATCCCTTCCAAGCCAACCAGAGCTCCCCTCCATCCCTCCGGAGCTCAGCAACATTGTACGACTCCAACTTCAGCTTCTCCCTTAATCTGAGCGAATATTCCATGCAATACCCAGCACTCCAGAGCTATAGATGCAGGGCAGCCATTGACTTATTCGGATACTGCTGGACTAATGATCCTTTAATACTGCTGGCAGTAAAATCCCACCCGGCCTCATTCACCAGGAGGGATGTCCTGCGTCAGACTTGGGCCAGGGAGAAAAAGATTATGGAATACAGAGTGAAGCCTGTGTTCCTCATGGCCAATTCTGGCAAGCGTCACCAGATGGAGAGGGTGGTGAAGGAGGCCTTTTCCAATGGGGACATCATTCTATGGGATTTTCTGGAAAGCCATCACAATCTCTCTCTAAAAGAGAGATGTTTTTTGGAATGGATTTATCACCGCTGTCCAGAGGCCAAGTACATATTCAAAGGTGATGTGTTCGCTAGCTCAAACGTAGTGAGATATATAGATGGATGGATGGTGTGACGGTAGTAATCTGTGTCACCGTCTAGTATTCCCTTTTTCCCCAATAGCAGAATAATCACAATAATCCACAGGGTAAAATATCGCTGGTATTGCCAAATAATCCACACATGAGCCAAAGCTTAATACTGGAACAAGACTGATTTACTGGAAGCAACAGGCATTCAATTTATACAGTACAAGCTCCTCCTCTGGGCCAGGCTAGATAATTGAGTTTCAGCAACATACTAAACTCAATTATCTGCTGGCCAGAAACATTACAATTTTCAAAATTTTTAGAAATATACTTTCTACATGACATATGAATATAAGAATTGCCCACATCCCTGGGTAGCTGAGGATACTGGGAGTCACATATCCAAATTGCACGAAAATCCGTTTGGTACTTTCCATGTCGCGTCGTGTGGAAGTTTGACTGGCTCACCATGTGGTGGTATCCGATTTAGAGTTCCATGAACTCAGTAGTAAGAACCGGTCTCCGTTCGTGCAGAATTACACGAAAACCACCATAGATATGTTGCAGCTGGTTATATGAGAGTGCTCCCCTCGTTCGGTAGATTAAAACTCCCGAACGCCGGTTTGATACTATGGGTGGAAATAGGTCAGACGGGACTTCCATAATGACCGGGCGTTCGGGTGATTGCCATGCCGAAAACAGTTCCAGGCAATCCACGAGTAAGTTCCGCTGGCCGCATTCAGGAGATTTAAGATGGCCACCATCCTTTGTTCTCGCCACGTGTTCGTATGCCGAATGGCGGCCACCTAGAAACACTCAATTAAGTTGCTGTTTCGTGTGGTTACTCGGTGTTCTGATTGCTGCCCAGGGTGGTTTCCGTTCGGTAGAACGAATAAATGTCCCGAACACAGAAATAACAACGAATACTTTACAGTCACTTAACTAGCAGGGAGAGAAAGTACCGAATACATGGAGGGTGATTCTTCACAGATGGATAGATATAGAGATAGACAGAGAGAGAGAGATAGAAATAGATAGATAGATAGATAGATAGATAGATAGATAGATAGATAGATAGATAGAAAAATGAACTCTGGCAATAATTATTCTGCTTGATACTGATTCATATATATGTATGTAAATTCTTCTCTCTTTTTGTTGGGTGGCTCGCCTTGTATTAGGCATATTATAGTTATTCTGTGTCACTTAAACATATAACGCAATCAGACTTTCCTGGCTTTTCTTATAAAAGAGATTTATTCTTCTTGCTTTCCAAATTCAAAGTCAGAACTTACAATGTCATTGATGTTAAATAGATCAACAGCTGATGGTACATGCTGGGCATTCAGAGTGCGGAGACACTCACAGCTGATGGTACATGCTGGACATTCAGAGAGCAGAGACACTCTCACAGCTGGTGTTACACGCTGGGCATTCAGAGTGTGGAGACACTCTCACAGCTGATGGTACATGCTGGACATTCAAAGTGCGGAGACACTCTCACAGCTGATGGTACACGCTGGACATTCAGAGTGGGAAGACACTCTCACAGCTGATGGTACACGCTGGACATTCTGAGTGTGGAGACACTCTCACAGCTGATGGTACACGCTGGACATTCAGAGTGCGGAGACACTCTCACAGCTGATGTACACGCTGAGCATTCAGGGTGCGGAGACACTCTCACAGCTGACGGTACACGCTGGGCATTCAGAGTGCGGAGACACTCACAGCTGATGGTACACGCTGGACATTCAGAGAGCGGAGACACTCTCACAGCTGATGGTACACGCTGGACATTCAGAGTGTGAAGACACTCTCACAGCTGATGGTACATGCTGGACATTCAGAGTGTGAGGACACTCTCACAGCTGATGGTACACGCTGGGCATTCAGGGTGCGGAGACACTCTTACAGCTGATGGTACATGCTGGACATTCAGAGTGTGGAGACACTCTCACAGCTGATGGTACACGCTGGACATTCAGAGTGCGGAGACACTCTCACAGCTGGTGTTACACGCTGGGCATTCAGAGGGTGGAGACACTCTCACAGCTGATGGTACATGCTGGACATTCAGAGTGTGGAGACACTCTCACAGCTGATGGTACATGCTGGACATTCAGAGTGTGGAGACACTCTCACAGCTGATGGTACATGCTGGACATTCAGAGTGCGGAGACACTCTCACAGCTGATGGTACATGCTGGACATTCAGAGTGTGGAGACAATCTCACAGCTGATGGTACACGCTGGACATTCAGAGTGGGAAGACACTCTCACAGCTGATGGTACACGCTGGACATTCTGAGTGTGGAGACACTCTCACAGCTGACGGTACACGCTGGGCATTCAGAGTGCGGAGACACTCTCACAGCTGATGGTACACGCTGGACATTCAGAGTGCGGAGACACTCTCACAGCTGATGGTACATGCTGGACATTCAGAGTGTGGAGACACTCTCACAGCTGATGGTACATGCTGGACATTCTGAGTGCGGAGACACGCTCACAGCTGATGGTACACGCTGGACATTCAGAGTGCGGAGACACTCTCACAGCCAGGGCTGGTGCAAGCATTTTTGTCACCCTAGGCGAAAACAAATTTGCCGCCCTATTTGCTTCCCCCAATCATGCAGACTAACACACACGCTGACTCAAGTAGACACACATTGACCATGCAAACTGACACACACGCACTAACCCATGCAGACACACACATACAGACACACTGACCCATGCAGACAGACACCATGACCCATACAGACAGACACACTGACCCATACAGACAGACACACTGACATACAGACAGACACACTGACCCATACAGACAGACACACTGACCCATACAGACTGACACTGACCCATACAGACAGACACATTGAACTATACAGACACACTGACCCATACAGACACACACACTGACCCATGCAGACACACACTGACCCATACAGAGTGACACTGACCCATACAAACAGACACACTGACCCATATAGACAGACACACTGACCCATATAGACTGACACACTGAACTATACAGACAGACACACTGACCCATACAGACAGACACACTGTCCCATACAGACAGATACACTGTCCCATACAGACAGATACACTGACATACATAAACATATTGACTGAAGCAGACTAACACACATTCTCTGACATAAAGAGAAGATAGGATTGGGTAAAGTGCAGTGATATTCTCTGACATACCTTACCTTCATTGTTGTTCATTCCTTGCGCCTGGCTGCCCTTTCTCTGCACATTATGCTCCGCCCACTTCTCGAGACGTACAGGGGAAGGGACGGGAGCGAGGAATTAAAGCACCCGCACGCTGCCGCACTGCATGTCTGGGAGGGAGGGGCCTGGTTGGGCGGGCTGTATGCCGCCGGACCTGTTTTCTACCGGCGCTAGTGAGCAACAATGTAAGAGCTTCCGAGTGCCCGGTAAAATGGCCGGCGGCATACTCGAAACAGATAAATAACTTGTCAGGTCCGGCGCCCCCTCTTAAGCAGCGCCCTAGATGGCCGCCTAGTTTGCCTATAGGGAGGGCCGGCCTTGCTCAAAGCTGATGGTACACGCTGGACAATTAGAGTGCGGAGACACACTCACAGCTGATGGTTCATGCTGGACATTCAGAGTGTGGAGACACTCTCACAGCTGATGGTACATGCTGGACATTCAGAGTGCGGAGACACTCTCACAGCTGATGGTTCATGCTGGACATTCAGAATGTGGACACACTCTCACAGCTTATGGTACATGCTGGACATTCAGAGTGCGGAGACACTCTCACAGCTGATGGTACACGCTGGACATTCAGAGTGCGGAGACACTCTCATAGTTGATGGTACATGGTGGAAATTCAAAATGTGAAAACACTCTCACAGCTGATGGTACATGCTGGACATTCTGAGTGCGGAGACACTCTCACAGCTGGTGTTACACGCTGGACATTCAGAGTACGGAGACACTCTCACAGCTGATGGTACACGCTGGACAATTAGAGTGCGGAGACACATTCACAGCTGATGGTACATGCTGGACATTCAGAGTGCGGAGACACTCTCACAGCTGATGGTACATGCTGGACATTCAGAGTGCGGAGACACACTCACAGCTGGTGGTACACGCTGGACATTCAGAGTGTGAAGACACTCTCACAGCTGGTGGTACACGCTGGACATTCAGAGTGCGGAGACACACTCACAGCTGGTGGTACATGCTGGACATTCAGAGTGCGGAGACACACTCACAGCTGATGGTACGTGCTGGACATTCAGAGTGCGGAGACACTCTCACAGCTGATGGTACAAGCTGGACATTCAGAGTGCGGAGACACACTCACAGCTGGTGGTACATGCTGGACATTCAGAGTGCGGAGACACTCTCACAGCTGGTGGTACATGCTGGACATTCAGAGTGTGGAGACACTCTCACAGCTGATGGTACACGCTGGACAATTAGAGTGCGGAGACACACTCACAGCTGATGGTTCATGCTGGACATTCAGAGTGCGGAGACACTCTCACAGCTGGTGGTACATGCTGGACATTCAGAGTGTGGAGACACTCTCACAGCTGATGGTACACGCTGGACAATTAGAGTGCGGAGACACACTCACAGCTGATGGTTCATGCTGGACATTCAGAGTGCGGAGACACTCTCACAGCTGATGGTACACGCTGGACATTCAGAGTGCGGAGACACTCTCACAGCTGATGGTACATGCTGGACATTCAGAGTGCGGAGACACACTCACAGCTGATGGTACATGCTGGACATTCAGAGTGCGGAGACACACTCACAGCTGATGGTACAAGCTGGACATTCAGAGTGCGGAGACACTCTCACAGCTGATGGTACATGCTGGACATTCAGAGTGCGGAGACACACTCACAGCTGATGGTACATGCTGGACATTCAGAGAGCGGAGACACTCTCACAGCTGATGGTACAAGCTGGACATTCAGAGTGCGGAGACACTCTCACAGCTGGTGGTACACGCTGGGCATTCAGAGTGCGGAGACACTCTCACAGCTGATGGTACACGCTGAACATTCAGAGTGCGGAGACACTCTCACAGCTGATGGTACACGCTGGACATTCAGAGAGCGGAGACACTCTCACAGCTGATGGTACACGCTGGACATTCAGAGAGCGGAGACACTCTCACAGCTGATGGTACACGCTGGGCATTCAGAGTGCGGAGACACTCTCACAGCTGATGGTACACGCTGGACATTCAGAGTGTGGAGACACTCTCACAGCTGATGGTACACGCTGGACATTCAGAGTGCGGAGACACTCTCACAGCTGATGGTACAAGCTGGACATTCAGAGTGTGGACACTCTCACAGCTGAAGATACAGGCTGGACATTCAGAGTGCGGAGACACTCTCACAGCTGATGGTACACGCTGGACATTCAGAGTGCGGAGACACACTCACAGCTGATGGTTCACGCTGGACATTCAGAGTGCGGAGACACACTCACAGCTGATTGTACACGCTGGACATTCAGAGTGCGGAGACACTCTCACAGCTGATGGTACACGCTGGACATTCAGAGTGTGGAGACACTCTCACAGCTGATGGTACATGCTGGACATTCAGAGTGCGGAGACACTCTCACAGCTGATGGTACAAGCTGGACATTCAGTGTGCGGAGACACTCTCACAGCTGATGGTACACGCTGGACATTCAGAGTGTGGAGACACTCTCACAGCTGATGGTACACGCTGGACATTCAGAGCGCAGAGACACTCTCACAGCTGATAGTACACGCTGGACATTCAGAGTGCGGAGACTCTCTCACAGGTGATGGTACACACTGGACATTCAGGGTGTGAAGACACTCTGCCTTCATGTTCCGTGTCTCAGTGTCTGAGTTTCATGCTCCTAGACATTCCTTACACAGATAATACATTCTACATATATACCAAAATGGCTGTGTAAGCAAAACAAGTCAATGCTATTGATACAATATGCTTGTTGGCAATTCCTTATCAGGTCTTCTCACGTTCCATGGACACTCAGAAACAGAGCTTACAGCACTTATTGTCATCTGTCTGTCTATCTCTGTCTGTCTGTCTATCTATCTCTGTCTATCTGTTTCTCCATCTATCTATCTGTAAAATAGTCTACATTTTGGAAATGTCTCTTACATGCATTTCACACTGAGGTGTGGTTGATATTGAGTGACATGAACAGATGACAATAAGTGCTGTAAGCTCTTCTCTATTTCTGCCCCATTTGATCCATTCACTCATGCAGACTGACATGCACTAACCCATGCAGCCTGACACACAAACACTGACCCATGCAGACTGCCGCACATGTACTGACACACACACTGACGCACGCAGACTGACCCATGCAGACACACACATACACACTGACTTGTGCAGACACACACACTGACCTATGCAGACACACACTAACCCATGCAGACACACACATACAGATACGCACTGACCCATACAGACACACGCTGACCCATTCTGCAGACAGACACTGACCCATACTCCAGACAGACACTGACTGATACGGCAGACAAAAGCGAAAGACACAGGCAACACTCCAGGATAAAGAAGATACGTTTATTTCTGGAAACACCACCTCATAAAGTGCAACGTTTTGGCTCATCAGAGCCTTAATAAGGGATACAACGTGATACAGTGCTTACATATCCCCCACCCCAATTAAACTAATTGATAAATTGCATCACGTGTTAGTTAAACATATCCATAGAGAGAACTCTAAAACATGACAAGGAGTCTAATAGAAATCCTAATTAGTACGCAATCATCTTAAAGGTATAACACCCTATTTCATCTTAAAGGTACAAAGCAGAATACGAATCTGTATAACATAATGAGAATAATTGGAGAGTAAACGTCCTAAATTATATGAATAAATGAGACATAGGAGCAAAGAATTGGATCAAAAGATCACGCTATTGGAAATTCCCCAAATTTATAAGTCAACCTAGAATTAACCATGTAGTTAACATTCCATAACTTCATGGACTAACCAATCATAAATGAATAGAAACCAATGGTTAAGGAATCGAAGTAAATACGTGAGTGAAAATATACAATATACTAAGTACATAGTACAATATGGAAAATGTATATAATGAAATAAGACGTTCCTCATATGTATCCGCCCTAATCCAGGTGGGCACCAGAGGGTACACAATATGCTTCAAGTAGCACTGTAAAAGAAAATAAAACATCTCACTAATAATAAATACACACAAGATTACAAAAAAGAAGTAAGAGAAAATTCCCTGTTAAGTCCCTTGGGCCATAAGGTGTTTCATGTGTGGATCCAAAAGGACTCCTTCATTTTAAGCAAACCTTGACGGCTGCCACCTCTCCTGAGTGAAGGCACATGGTCAATAACCTGAAATATTGTGACTATGTTCCATGAAGTATGCAGGAATAGGTCATTCCTTTTGTCTCGTTCTAATAGTTGATTTGTGCTTATTAAGTCTCTCACGGACCTTCATTGTGGTCTCTCCTACATAGAGAAGGCCACATGGGCACTTAAGGACATAGACAACATACGTCAACTCGCAGGTGAAATAATTCTTTATATTGTATGAACGACCTGTTTGGGGATGAAAAAATGTATCACCTTTAATAATAGAGTTGCAGGAACTACAGTTATGGCATGGAAATGTGCCATATACTGGAGTGGATACTACATACTACAGACAGACACTGACCCATACAGAAACACACTGACCCATACAGACTGACATACACAAACACAAATTCTTCACAAATACACATTGTGATGTCCCATTGACTCTCTTACCTTTCTTGCATATATGACTGCTTTTCATTTGTAACTGGCAGCTTCCCTGTGCCTGGCCGCCTGTTATGCTCCCGCCCACTTATACCCACCTACCGGGCAAGGCCGGGGAGCAAGAAATTGAAGTGCCCTTGCGCTGTTGCAGCAATGGTAGCCTTTGTGGGGAGCCTGGCTGAGCAGGCTGAAGTGGATGCCGCCAGACCAGTATTACACCGGGTGCTAGCCTGCAGACATGTAAGTGCTCCCTACTGCCTGGTAACATGGCACGCTTTGTAGAATTTCTCCAACATAGACTGGCAGCAAAATGAGCAGAGCAGCAAAGCTCCTGCTGGCACCCCCTCTTGAGCAGCCGCCTAATTTGCCTATAGGAAGCACCGGCCCTGCCATGACTGACTGCTTGGTTTATTTCATTCAAATTTTTTATTTTTTTATTTTGGTTTGTCCGAAATCATGAAATGATCAATTCAGAGCAAAATGAAATTGAGAAGAATTTCAGAAGTGAAATGAAAAGATTCCAAATAATGAAATCAAGATTGATGATGAAGGTGGAGCTACCGCGACTAGACTGGTGCAGCATGGGAGAAAAGGTGAGTAAAATATTTTTTTTTTTACTGCGATCAGATGGGGTCTGGTCACTTAAACAGCCACTTAAAATCATTCAAAAAGTTTATTCAAAAATATTACACCGAGGCCCTAGTTCTTAAATAGCAGCTTTGCTCTTTTTCTTATGATCGTTTTTTTTATCCTGGTGTTAATGGTGGGCAGATACACATAATATTATCCCTGGACCTCACTATGTTTAATAAAAGACCTAAACATTGCTCTCTGTCCTTTCTCGGCAGGTGACGATGACGAGTTTGTGAACCCCTACGCCATTGTTAGTTATATACAGCACTCTCTTCCTCCACATCCTCTGGAAATCCATGGCCAACTTCAAATCCACCCACCTCCGGAGCGCTCGGGGAAGTATGCCGTTCCTTTCTCCTTATACCCACACGGGCACTACCCTCCATTTGTTTCTGGTGGAGGGTTTCTTCTTCCAGGAGAGCTGATTCCTTCTCTTTACTTGGCTGCATCCACCATCCCTGTTTTCCCACTGGATGATGTCTTTTTTGGGTTCCTAGCACTGTCCGCCAACATTACCTTCCACCACGAACCCCGCTTCTGTTCATTTGGGTTAAAGGCAAACAGACTATGCCAATACGTTGATGTTTTAGTGGTTCATGGATTAACACCAAAAAAGATGCTGGAGATCTGGAAATATCTGCCGAACACTGCATCGTGTCCACCCAGTGAGAGGACACCGACGGAGGACACAAAGAGGAAAACTTTAGTTAAATAATAAACAAACTTATTAAACTTCCAGATCTTTGATAAAAATTACTAAGTTCTTTTACATCTGCCTGTCCCTTGGTAACATCACTGGGGACAGGACTGACTCATAGCGCCCCTACCTGTGTCATCCTGCAGGGGGAGGGACAGACTCATAGCGCCCCCTTTCTGTGTCACTGTGTCACCCTGTATGGTCACTGTGTCACCCTGCAGGAGGAGGGACAGACTCATAGCGCCCCCTGTCTGTCACTGTGTCACCCTGCAGGAGGAGGGACAGACTCATAGCGCCCCCTGTCTGTCACTGTGTCACCCTGCAGGAGGAGGGACAGACTCATAGCGCCCCCTGTCTGTGTCACTGTGTCACCCTGCGGGGGGAGGGACAGACTCATAGCGCCCCCTGTCTGTCACTGTGTCACCCTGCAGGAGGAGGGACAGACTCATAGCGCCCCCTGTCTGTCACTGTGTCACCCTGCAGGAGGAGGGACAGACTCATAGCGCCCCCTGTCTGTGTCACTGTGTCACCCTGCGGGGGGAGGGACAGACTCATAGCGCCCCCTGTCTGTGTCACTGTGTCACCCTGCAGGAGGAGGGACAGACTCATAGCGCCCCCTGTCTGTGTCACTGTGTCACCCTGCAGGAGGAGGGACAGACTCATAGCGCCCCCTGTCTGTGTCACTGTGTCACCCTGCGGGGGGAGGGACAGACTCATAGCGCCCCCTGTCTGTGTCAGTGTGTCACCCTGCAGGGGAGGGACAGACTCATGGTGACATACTAAGACCAAACAAAACAGACAAACTAAGCTTTCCACTTCTATATAATATCCATGGGTGCTGTCATTGTTTTCCATGAGACAATGTGCACACGTTGGTCTAACTCATATAAAAACACGGTTAGAGCTATAAGGTTATGGGTGACTATATTTTTATTATTTTTAATTGCACTTTGTTAAAGCGGGTGTGTCACTCTCGGAGTCCAGTGGTCATGGGGTACAGTAAAAGGTGGGTTAACTTACTTGAAACTGTCCCTCGTAGCCGCCATCTTCATCCTGGGGTCGAGAATGCAACACTGAGGTGTGGGGAGGATCCAGCGAGAGCTGTCGCTTGTGATAGCTGCTCGGATTGGATAAAAGTTTACAGTGGAGCTCCGACTTTTTTCAACTTTTGCCAACCTCAGACTTGTCCATGAGACAAAGCATACTTTACCTTTTAATATCTTCGGATTGCATTGCGATCTCAACGTCATTCCAACATAGCATCAGTATTTTATAGAGATTATATCTTCATAAACTGAGAAGTGTCAGAGCCGCTTTAAATAAATTACCTCTGTGATGCATTATATAATTGTGGGTCTATCCAGCCGGGAATATCCTTTAAACACCAGAATGAACATTATTATCATATTATAGAGTAACTGGAGAATGTCACCATCGTCGTTTATTTGTATAATCAAGATGTAATTATTAGTGTTATTCTCGATGTGTAACTTGGGACTGACTGAGCTGGTGTACAGGAATTCTCAGCTATTTCTATAAACGGTTTACATCCTCTGAGTTCACGCCCATAGTGTGCTCTATTGCATGTGGTTTTTTTAATGATTTTATTGTGTATTTATATGTGATGTATATACCATGAAAATGTGTCCATTTTGTAATTAACATTTATAGAACGAGGATCATTAATAACTCCCAACCTGATTGTTAAATTATAGACATTTTTGAATGTAATCTACTTGTGCCTCACTGATCTGATTTATAAATGTGACTAACCATAACCATTACAATATTTAATACACTCTTGATGAAAACAATCATAAAACTAGATATTTTAAATAAAATATTTTTAATATAACCGTGTGTAAATCTTTAATATAAAGTCAGACAGAGCCCCAGGTAGGTAATGTCAATCCCATGTAGTATTATTGTTTTTACCCAGCCCTTTTCTCGATATTTATAGTAAATCTCACTGAAGGTCAGAACCAGGACTTGCTTGTGATCCTGAATCCCGCAGTGACCTATTTCTCACAAGCCCAAAGCAGCCTGGACTTCAGGAGGAAAATGTACAGGGATGGCAGGATACTACATTGTTTTTCTCTTAATCCAGTGAATTGACAAACATTTTCTTTCCTGTTCTTACTGCATGTGGGTAGCTACATTGCCCCCTCCCGAGGTCTTCTTAAGTAGAAGTTGAGATTCCCAAGAAGTTGTCTGAAGGTTGCGTCTGCCTTGTGGTATTGTAAACTTTGGAGACACACACTCCCACGTAATATAATGTGTGTGATGTGTAATGTGTCTATACTTCACCAAAACCAATACATATATGGTCACGCAGGCACATGTATTGCATATACAGACACATACATGATCACTGATTGAGTTGGCAGGGAAGGTTAAATCAGGTTGGGGGTGTACCTAGCTGGGCCGAAGGCAGCCAAAACATTAAACAGGTCACCCAATGGACAGATGATGCAAGCACCATTTTAAATTCATACTGTCTGACTTAGAAGCCCACCCTCCCAGGCAACACCAGGTTTAATGCCCGCAGTTTAGAGAAGTACCAAATAAATGATAAATGTTGTGCCATAATAACATCAGGACATTAATGCAGGTTGGGAAGGAGCTTTCTTGATATGAAATCATAATTCAGGGAGGTTGATGGACATGGGCATGGTGGGATAGGTGATATGGGGTGGAGAGTGTGATGGATTTCACACCAGGACCTCGTGAGACTAGTCGATCGAGGGAACGAGGCGAGGGTCCCTAAGATTGGAGTGGGCAGTTTTTGGGCACTGGCAAAGTTGGTGGGCTCTCATGAGCCTGAAGGACAAAGCTCTTTTCCCGCAGGCGGGCTTTTCTGTGTCTGGGAAACAAAGCGATGGTCCCTTTTTCCCGCGCCTAGACTCCCAGGCACAGAGGCTCTTGGGACGAAGACCCCTGGCGGTTGGTGTGGAAAAACCCTGTGGGTTTAGTGGCGGGTGTGACAAAAGCAACTTCGCCACTGGGTCTTGGAGGGGACTACTGGCCAGCCTTTTACCCTGTGACTATGGGCCCTTTAATTTAATTTGGCTGAGAGACCCTAAATGTGCCTATTGGCACTTTAAACATTGGTTCTTTGAACTCCCGAACAGTCTAGGTGGCCGCCATTCGAACATGTGGTGGCGGCCATCTTGTTTGCATGGACTAATACCGCGAATAGACTTCAGGGGGATTTAGCAGCGAATGCCTTGGAACTATTTTCGGCATGAAAACCTTGCGGTTCCCGGTCGGTCCTCCAGCGGCACTTGAATCTATGGAACTGTTTTGGGCATGAAAACCTGGGTTCGCCTGGGCAAAAATATGACTTTCAGAAAATTTCTGAACCCCTAATCTGATCTGGGTGATTTTTGGATATTGTAATGGACCATTAAGCATAAAAGGGGTTAAAAACAGTTTAGGCGATATTCCCCTTCCAGATACACAGGCAGCTACTGCAAGCACCAATCTCCCGAACAGGAAACACACGAATTACCCAACTCCCGAACTGGAACCATACGAATGCTGTAAACAGCCAAACAGGAAAAAACATTCGAACAGTTTACACCCCCGGGCAGTCGCACTGTAACAGCATACAATCCAATTCCCCCCAAGAACGAGACGACACTTCGTTTGAGGGTCAAGCAGAACTGATTTACTGGGGCTACCTGCCCGGCTTTTATGCAGGTCTTCCACCTGGTGGTCACTCCCCTAGGGGACCAGATGGAAAACTGGGATACATAGTGGATATTGACCAATCACAAGTTTACACATTCAAATCCATCCTCTCTGTCCTGGAGATAATTGGGAAGTAATCCACTTATCTCCAAGGACAGATGAAAAACTCCATTAGCCACATGTTAGTAAAAAGACATAAAATTACACAATGTTACAATTACTACATAAAACATATACATTCGGGGGCGGAGCTTGACCACCAGGCAGAGCAGACGTGGGTCACACAAGCTCCTGCCTGGCAGACAGAAATTGGGGCAAAATCGGTGGCTATACAGCCCAAGGAACTACCAGGGTGCACCACCCAGATCGGGGGCACACCACTAAATCAAGCAACACCTTTCTGGAGCCCGTCGGGACAGAACGCCACGTGCGGCCTACTGGGATTTGAGCCGGGGAGAGGCGGACGCTCCCCCCGACACCATCACCCTTGAGCGACTTTGCTGGTCTCCTACTCCCCCGCCTTTGGACCAGTGGGGGTTATCCTGGTCCCCACTGGACACTCAGACCAGAACTGTTGACAAGCCTACCGGCTACATAATCTGCGGGGGCAACGGACTACCGAGGCACTCGCAAGATGGCGGCTCAGTGCAAGCCGCAGACAAAGAGCACATTAACCCAGCCACCTATGCAATCTCTGGAGGCTTTCAATCGGCTCTGCAGGAGATTTTGGTCAGTGCTCTGCCAGCGTGGAATGCCCTACTTCCTAGCAGTCAAAACAGTGGCCTCCTGGATCCGCCCTGCGACCCGGCGACGCCAATATGGGCACTTAATACACGATTCCAGAGCGCTCATCAGGCTGAGCAGACATCGCAGACGACAAAGCGGGAAACAGCAACACGCCATTCAGACAGACTCTCCCGCTCACATGGGAGCTGCTGCATCAAGCAATCCTCATCTGCACGCCACCCACTCGACCCAAGACTCACAGATCAGCACAGCTCCATGCCACACAGCATTGGATGACCGCTGCACTGCTGAACAGGAGACCGTCATGCCGAACACCGCTGGAGCAGTTACCGAGCCCAGAAGCTCCATTGGAGGTGCCTGCTGCGACAGACCAGGGGACATTCCAGCACTGGGCATAGGCTGAGACGCCCATTACTCAGCCCCACAGCCGGCAAGCCGTATTTCACATCGTGAGCACACACCTTCCGGCTCTCGAACTGTCTAATCTGCATGAACTGACACTTGTTTAATTTACGACCTAGAGGGTTACAGCTCCCCTTCTCTAGCCTGGGCTAACCTCCCCTAATATTACAGCTTACTGCCCAGTCACTTCTCAATACTAGGCACACTCCTATACTATTAGCCACGCTAATCTAGGTACACTACTTGACACTGGGCTCTCCCCCATACACTAGCTCAAGGGAGACACTGCATGAAGGCAAACTGGCAGACTCCAAGTTTCTGCTGCAGCTGAGTTACTGCATCGCAGCAGCTCCCTTCATTTCACTTTAACAATACTCTCTGCACCAATACCGACTACCAGTGGTTTTATAATATGTTAGACGCACCATTAGATCTAGATGACGCATACACTTTAAATATCTAGATGACACCGAGATGCAACATAAATATTAATCTTCAGCTATTGTTACTAATCGACAAAGAAATCCATTATGATAGATGTAGTTACCCAGCTTGTACTCAGCTTGTATTGTTAACCTAAAAAATTGTGCGTTTGATCTGAATGCTGTACAACAGTCAACTAATATGTGTTTTCAAATTGTTTAAGAATACTGTTATGGCATTCATGACATGCGAAAGTTATTTCATGCACAGCAAAAATAAAGAATAAAAAAAAAAAAAAAAAACATATACATTCAACATATCCCCAGATAGCTTAGGTCTGAGCGCACATTATTACAGAATGGCGCTCAGAGCACACACATACAGTTCAATTGTCATGGAGCCAAAGTCTTTCACATAGTCTTTCATTATACCAATGGGCTCCATGGCATAGCTATCTGGGCTAACACTGCTCACATAGAGAAAGTACTGAACGGACGCCGTTCGTATGAATTGCAGGAGAAGGGAGGTTGGTGGCTCAGCGGTGCTCGTGCAAATAAGTGTCAGTTTTGAGTACCATAGATTTGGAGCTGAACACCGCTGGCCGTTCGGGGGTTTAAGATGGCTGCTGCCATGTGTTTGGTTATACGAACAGCGGCCACCCAGCGTTCACCAATTAAGCTGCAGTTAACCGCAGCTTCTGGGAGGTAAATCCCTGGCACACTCCTTGCCCAGGTGGTCCTTTCATTCGTGCTTTTGTTCAGTAGATTCAATTTACCGAACGCCCAGGCAGAAAGGCACGAACAAGCCTTTCTGCAGGGAAAATAAAAGGTTTTTAATGCGGGGCCATAGTCCAAAGGCAGCAGGCAAGCAACCAGGCTTCTCCAGTTCTTCGTGGCGAGGTTGGTTGCTCCACAGATATGTTGTTCACCCAGATCAGGGATGTAAAATTTATGAGGATATGTTATAGGAACACTATAGTCACCTACACAACTTTAGCTTAATGAAGCAGTTTTGGTGTGTAGATCATGCCTCTCAGGTTTCACTGCTCAATTCAATACCATTTAGGAGTTAAATCTCTTTGTTTCTGTTTATAAAACACTTGCCACACCTCCCCTGACTCTGACTGACACAGCCTGGATAAAAAAAAAAAAATTGTTTCACTTTCAATCAGATGTAATTAACCTTGAACAATTTTATCTTTTGCTCTGTAAATTGAACTTTAATCACATACAGGAGGCTCTTGCAGGGTCTAGCAAGCCATTAACATAGCAGGGGATAAGAAAATCTAAATTAAACAGAAGTTGCAATACAGGAAGGATAAACCTTAGATGGCTCTTTACAGGAAGTCTTTATGAAGGATGTGCAAGTCACATGCAGGGAGGTGTGACTAAGGTTCATAAACAAAGTGATTTATCTCCTAAATGGCAGAGAATTTAGCACTGAAACTGCAGGGGCATGCTCTATACACCAAAACTGTTTCATTAAGCTAAAGTTGTTTTGATGACTATAGTGTCCCTTTATGTTTTGGAGTGTTTTCTAGACTTTGTATAAATGTGGAGAGAAAAAAAATGGGACGCAAGAGATTACTGAGAACGGGCAGCAGCTGAAATAGCCTGCCCTTCGGTGGGTCCCCGCTCAGATCACAAGCTGGTTTTTGCTCATCTTGTGCCATTACAGAGAGAACATATCTGAAGCATATCAGACTGGTCCCACCCATACGGACAGTCCAGATCCGAAAAGCCAGCAAGTTCCCTCTGCACGAGAGACACAGCAACCCCAGACGATCGTTTCAGCCTTGTTAGGCATCATCAGTGCGGCATAGCTAATATCTCTCTAGGCACCGTGAGCAAGGGGTCCACGTCTGGATTACCCTTTAAACTTGTAGAGAGCAAAAAAGTGGGACGTAAGAGATTACTGAGAACGGGCAGCAGCTGAAATAGCCTGCCCTTCGGTGAGTCCCCGCTCAGATCTCATTAAGTTAATGCATTAACTACCTTAATTATATCACAGGCAGAGGGGAGGGGTTGTTTAATGTATGTGGGAGTGTCGGACAATCTTATACTGTTCTTATTGGTCTGTGCAGTTTGTAATGCGGTGCTCCATCAGGTCCAGGGGGTGTGCCTCTGGCCTGAGGAATTGTATATAAGCCAACCTGTACCAATAAAGCTATACCAATAAAGCTTGAGACTTGTTCTACCCTTCATGAAGTCCTAGCTCATGTTTGGGGGATTGGAGAACTACCTACACTCTGGGGATTGCTTTAATCACTATACTCCCCAGGGTATAGTCACTAACCGCTTGTAAGAGCTTGTTCCTGTTCCTGCTCTCTGGATTAAGAGAGGTCTACCTACTGGAAGCTGGATCTTGGTCTTTGGTCCAGAGTCGGTGGAAGACGGTGAGACCCCAACCAAGCTGCAGCAGTTTGTGGGGTCTGCGGTGGTTATGGTGTCTAGTGGAGTGCTTGGAGCCCTCGGGAAGCACTAGGAGCATCTGTCAACGGAGAAACCCAGTCGGGGTGCCAGGCAATCCTTTACAGCGGGCTTTGGGGACAAAGGGAGCATCCATTCTCGCACTGGGGCCCCATGGAGGGAGAGAATCTTGGGATGTGTCCGTGCATGTTTGCATGGTAAACTCCTTGCATGGGGATATGCATAAAAGCTGTGTGTGGCCAATAAAATTATGTTGTACCTCCAGGACTGTGTGTCGTCCAGTTACTAGGGAAGGATGAAAATAGGTCTCCTTATGCCCTAACTGGTTCCCAGCCAGCTGAAGGAAGGGAATTAGCGGAGGTAACCAGTCGGGTTACCCTAGATCTGCAACAGAGAGGACTACTGGGCCTTTGAGATACATTGATGTAAGTGATTAAATACAGAATGGGACAAGAGAGGAGCTGATATTGAAATAACAGAGTTAGAATTGTGACTCAAACTGATCTCGAAGTAAAAGGACCTTCAATGCCAGGTAGAGTGTGCACTTCTAGATTAGGGTGCTGATAATGACAGGGGTATTTAATAAGGACAGCCAAGGATGAATGGGAGGAGTGTAACAGTGAAGCTTGTCTGTGGCCCCTTGCTTGACTTATCGTGTGCCAAACTGTGAACTAGGTTACTGGGTTTCTTTCAGACTTCAGGCACTCAATGGGTGACATAAGAGTACAATAGCTGTCTCTAGAATAGAAAACTCAAACCTCCCCCTCCAGAATTCCCAGAATTCCTTAAATTAAAGAGATGACCAGAGAATTATGAGAGCTGTAGTATGGCAACATCTGGGGGGTTTCAGATTTTCAATTGCCTGCTCTAGAAGCATGAGCTGTGTAGCAGAATGGACCCTGCTACTGCATTTTATACTGGCACCAGGCTGTTCGTACCCACTTTACCCTCCTCATTGTCCCCTATGTGTGAAAGTTACCATAACTGTGCGAGACATTTCCCCTTTGCTTTGAAACCCAAGGTTTTCCATGTTTCGCCTGGCCGTTCGTCAAAATCCATTCCCCTAACTGGTTCCCACGGTTTTATTCATCAACCGAACAAACTACCGAACGGGAGACCACCCAGATATGGAGTGTGCCGCTCATTAACACAGTTCACACCTCCATAAACGGCAATCACACGAGCGTTCTAAGCGGTCGGTGGGGTGGTCGCCGTTCGTATAGACGAACACGTGGCGGCGGCCATCTTGGGACATGAACAAAGGCAGCAGTGTTTGGTAGTCGAGTGCCTGGAACTAAAATCGGACACTCGATGGCGCGAACACTGCTGGGACTTCCACCTCCACCTAAGTTCAACTGGAAGTACACGAATGAAGCGCTATTCGGTAGAAATAATCTACCGAACCAGATATGTACAATAACATTATGCATGAATGGATCCATTCAACAAATTACACTCTATTTGACTGATAAAATAAACCGGCCGCACAGCCTTATCCTCTGGAACTGTTTTGGGCATAAAGCCATGTGTGCGGTCGGTCGAAAGTGACTTCCAAGGAATTCGTGAACCCCTGCTCTGATCTGGGTGATTTTTGGATATGTTGTTCACCCAGATCAGAGCTATCCAGGGATGTGTCATTTGTGGGGATATGGGGTGTTTTTGGGGTACTTCTGGAATCTTGTAAAATATGTGGTTTTCCTGCCTGGGGATAATTGACTTATTACATTATATACCTCAATTATCTACCAGGCAGAGGGGAGGGCTTGTACCTACTGTATGGGAGTGTCTCTATGTATAACACTGTTTCATTGGCTTGTTAACTTTGTGTCCTACCGAACGGGAGACCACCCAGATATGGAGTGTGCCGCTCATTAACACAGTTCACACCTCCATAAACGGCAATCACACGAGCGTTCTAAGCGGTCGGTGGGGTGGTCGCCGTTCGTATAGACGAACACGTGGCGGCGGCCATCTTGGGACATGAACAAAGGCAGCAGTGTTTGGTAGTCGAGTGCCTGGAACTAAAATCGGACACTCGATGGCGCGAACACTGCTGGGACTTCCACCTCCACCTAAGTTCAACTGGAAGTACACGAATGAAGCGCTATTCGGTAGAAATAATCTACCGAACCAGATATGTACAATAACATTATGCATGAATGGATCCATTCAACAAATTACACTCTATTTGACTGATAAAATAAACCGGCCGCACAGCCTTATCCTCTGGAACTGTTTTGGGCAT